TAGAAGTTGATCACTTTCAAATCGCAAGACTTATGTTACAAAGTATAACCCCCACCTTATAATCGAAGTCGACTGCATACCGTCCAGATGGAGAATACGTCCAACTGTACAATATGTCCTTCCTAAAAACAGTGCATATGGAACTAATAATAGGAACGATTACTCATCGGCAAAAGAGTACTTCTCATCTTCTTTCGTAGTTTCCATTCGTTCCAAGGGTATCCATTCCTCCATTGCACGACCGAGTGGTTAGTACGTGTGAGTCGAACTGATCCTCCATCGTGAAGATCCATTCGAGTGATCACTGATACAGTGCTAGTGATATGGGAGAATGAGTCCTCTCTAGCAAAGGATTGCACGTAGGCAGATTGCAGTTGATCTAGATGCAGCCTATGGTTTGCTCACAGATGTACTGTTACAAAACGATCTTAGGTCGAGTTCATTCATCGCAGCTTGCGCGATTGAGTGGTGCGATTCGGGAAAGGCGCGACTATGAGCGGACGAAGCCGAGCGGTCTCTTACAGGAATGCTGCGATCGTGTCAAGCCTATTCTGAAGGTGTTCACGATCAGCACGCCTGTAGTTACACCACCATGAGCATGCTCTGAACTTGACATAGAGCCTGACGAAATCGGCTAAAGAGGCCTTACAAGCAGAGAGTAGTGCATGAAATTAGCACCACTAACCAGCTAATCCGAAGGCAAGGCTGCAGCGCATCAGGTCGACTAGCTGAGGAATACTTTCCATTTTGCGTGCGATGTCACATAGAAATAAGGTCGGTTCTGACAGAGGGATTTGGAGTTACTCAGGAGATTCCTGTTTTGCCGCTTTTCGTGCTTTAATGTCGCAAAGTATGAACGCAATCTAAATGTCCCTTTCTATTGAAGTGTTTCGCTTCAGTTTTACCTTGCTAACGGGTAATCAATATGAAGATTAATTTAAGCCTGTTTTGACACTTATCTTTTCCCTCAAAATCAACAAAATTGAACGTATTTTGGCAGTTGTAGTGAAACTTCTTCCCGGCAACACTTCGATGATACAACCTTACTGTTTCGTTATTGTAGTCCTTTCTTGTGAGAAACTCCTTCCAGAACAAGTTTTCTGAAACTGACTATTAACACATTGGCGACAAGGCGCCTTTTCGCGTGTCTGCCGCGTGGGACAAAGCAGTTTTTCCCTATTTTCGAAGAATGCGCATAAATGCTAGGGCGTTATACTTACTTACTTTGATACTTTGATGATCCATCTTCATTGGCGGTTTTCGCAATGTGGACCACATTCGCTCCATGTCTTTCTGCAATGTGCAACGGTCATCCAGTGAGGTAAACCTCTTTGTTTGAACGATTTTGAAAAAACATCAGACCAGCGAGTAGCGGGACGCCCAGGTGTTCGTTTGGTATCTCGAGGATACCAGTACGTAATTCTGGTCGTCCACCTGTCATCCTGGCGACGTATCACGTGTCCTGCCCATTTATGTCTTGCGGCAGCTACATAGAAGGATGGGTCTCGAATTCTTGATTCTCTTCGGATGTCGTTACTGCTTAGTCTTTGCTGCCATTGCATCAGCTTTGTCTTTTTCACCAGCGATCTTTCCAAAGCCCGATGAACGGTTCTTAGCGATTTGTCAACACCTTTGTTCGTTGCCCATGTTTCAGTGGCGTAGCATAGAGCAGGGAGCACGGAAGCATCGAAAAGATTGGCACGTACTAGAGGGTCTTGAATCTCGTTCGTCACTTCTCGAATTCTTGCCATGGCTGCCCACGCTGCTCTTTTCCGGCGGTCAATTTCATATTGCAAATCATTTTGCATGTTAATCTCGCGACCGAGATAGATATATGATTTGACGTTTTCTACAGCTACGCCTTCAAGGTATACTTCACCATCGTCGCACCACTGATTCCTCATCGTCTGCGTTTTTCTCATGTTCATCGATAGTCCAATAGCTTTTCCAGCTTCACAGAGTTCGTTCAGAAGTGAATTCATCTCTCTGCTATTGTTGCTTATAAGGACTATGTCATCCGCGAAACGTAGGTTTGACAATTTCTTTCCGTCTACCGCCACGCCTTTGTTGTCCCAGTTCAATCCCACCATGACATGGTTAAGAGCTGTCGTAAACAATTTAGGGGAAATGGTGTCCCCTTGACGGACTCCTTTTTCGATTGGGATGCGTAGTTTCCTGTCAAACATCTGAATGATCGTCGATGTCCCACTATTACATTTCTCTAAGACATTGACGTAGGTCGGATCGACTCCTGCATGTTGTAAGGCGTTCAGCACGGCATTTATCTCGACCGAGTCAAAAGCCTTAGTATAGTCAACAAAAGTGAGAATCAACGGCATTTTATATTCTTTGCATCTCTCGATCAGCTGTACGATCGTATGGATATTGTCCAGGCAGCAGAAGCCTTTCCTGAATCCAGCCTGCTCAGGGGGCTGGTAGGAGTCCAGAGTATCTTCTAGACGATTCAGTATGATCTTGGTGAAGACTTTATAGACGATTGAGAGAAGAGCTATAGGTCTATAGTTTCCGATGTCCTCCTTATCGCCTTTTTTGAAGATCAAGACCGTCTTGGAACACTTCCATTGTTCCGGTATCTCACCTTTTCTCAAATAGTGATTGAAGTGTTCCGCTAATACCTTTTGCATTGTGATTCCTCCTGCTTTCAAAAGCTCTGCTGATATACCGTCTGGTCCAGGTGCCTTTTGAAATTTTAATGACTCGATCACGTTCCTCACTTCAGAGATTAGAATTGGTGGAATCTCGTCATTTGCAGGGCACGGCGACCTTGGAACAACTGTCGTTGACCGGTACAGCTTTGTATAAAAGTCCATTACAATGCTCTCGATGCCTTGTCTCGAAGTCGTTGGCCGTCCTTGATTGTCCTTGAGGCATGTCGTTTCAGTGCGATAGTCCACCAAATCTTTTCGGCAGCATTTCAAGCTCTTCCTCTGCATTGCTGCTGTCATCAGCTTTTGTTTCCGGTATTCCTTTAGAGATTCTTTGACAGCTAAACGACATGCCTTATTGACAATCGACTTCTCCAGATGCGTGACTGTAGGATCTCTTCTGAGTTCTCCTCTGCGTCGGAGGAGATCCTTGGCCTTCGCATTCAATCTTTCCGTCCTCGCCACTTGGTTCTCCGTAGCAGCTTCCGCACAGCGAAGGAGGTTGCTATTAAGCATCTCATAATCCTTTGTGACGTCTTCTAGCAACCTCCAGGATTGGTTATTCATAGCTGTTTCCAGAACTTCTTCGTTGTATCGTGGGAAGCGGATTGGGGGTCCACGGTGTGTGTCTCTTTTGAATATCTGGTCATTGAGCCGAACAGTCATTCTGACTAGGCGATGGTCAGATCCACAGTCAAAAGAGGGCAGCACCGTCACATCCACCAGGCTCCACCTTCTGTTTGTGAAAACGTGATCCAGTTCCTAAGCTCCACCTTCTTGTTTGTGAAAACGTGATCCAGTTCCAAGTGAAGCTCTCCGTTAGGACTTTCCCAGGTCCATCTCCTGTTTTGAGGTTTGTCAAAAAGAGAGTTTCCGTGATAGAGATTACAAGAGTACGCAAGATCCAGAACACGAGTACCATTATCATTTCTATTTCCTTCTCCGTGTTTGCCGAGCCTCCAGTTGCCATCATTTCCATTTCCAAGCGCAGCATTGAAGTCTCCGCATAAATACTTGTAATAAGACTTCTCTCTCTTGACTACCTCCTCCAGCTCATGGTAGAAAGCATCCTTTTCTTCTTCATCCGCTGAGTTCGTGGGGGCATAGCAGTTTACGATGCTGATCATCGCCTTCTGTCTCGTTTTCAAACGCAGCAGTGCGATCCGAGGGCTGAGGATTTCGTGTGAATGTACATTCGATTCGATGGAACGGTTCACAAGGAACCCGACCCCTCCGGAGTTTCTCACGAGATTCTTCTGCCCTATCACAAGCAGCTGTCCCTCATCCATCTTTCTTGTAAACGCCTCCTTCGCCTTTGTCTCCTGTAGACATATGATGTCGTACCTAATTTTCCTCGACTGGTGAAGAAGGGTTCTCAAGCTTGCCTCCATAGATAACGTTCGACAGTTATACGTACAGATGTCTAAGTAATCATTCATGCGTCGTCGTCGTAAGCGAGGTTGGCCGTTGACGCCCAGTACCAAATCTCTTCCTTCATCAGTAGCGGCGTCTCCGGGCGTCGTGGGAGAGCATATCTGAATCCGGGCCGATTCTCTTCTTTTAGCAAATGTCGTAGCATATAGAGCGGTCGAATACTCCTGAAGTGCCTTGCCGGGGCTATCCAGAGCCGCCCGTCCAGTTCCTAGACTGCGTGACCGTCGGTGCCGTTGGCCGTTCTCCAGAGAGAACGTTCACCCCTTCACCACGTTGAGGTGGCACCATGAAGGGGGAAAATTAGAATAGTAATGGGAATCTCAAAAGAAAGAAATGGATGTGAAGGATTGGGGGCGAGCACGGTCGCCCCAGAGGAGGAAACTTCGAATTTGCCAAACGTGCCCAGCAATTGCACTGTCTTAGGCACGCATTTCTGGCGACGAGACGGGACGGAGCACTTCCGCTACTTTTTCTGCTTTTCCACAGCCCACTACACTTTGCTACTTTCCTATACGTGTTGAGCACATTCGATGGAGACCTGCGGAATCTTGTGAAGCCGCCGAAATGATACCAGCCTGAAGTTTGTAAAGAGCATTTCTCATTTCTTATAGAGCAATGAAATACCATACAATACAGCTTACAATGGTGACTCGAAGAGCTTGCTCCAAATCAACAAGAGCACACTGGCTACTCTGCCTAGTTTATGACTTGTAATCCAACTGGAGAAGAAGCGATAGTGCGAAATGCTTCCCCGTTGCCGAACTGCTCCCGTGCCCTTTGCGGACTTCATTTAAGTATGGCGTGGGATGTAACCATTTAAACAAGTGACATCCTGCTTCGTGCTGTGCAATAGTGTAATAGAATTATAATTGTCCCAAAACAGCAACAGAGTATCTCGCTAAAAGCTCCTTTGAATGAAAAACGCAGCCACGTCCTGCTCTCTCCATCTATGGGATGAGGGGAGCGACAAGCAGCCTTCAGTCACACTAATTGAGCCATGTGCGGGCCCGCTTCACTCGATTCGGTTGAGGAAGCGTGCCGAAGCAAGTCTAACGCGATAACTCACAAAATCGGATATTAGGCCGAACGTCAATTCTACCTCCCCCTTAAATGGCAAAAGGTGTAGAACTCCATTTTCAAAGCTCCTCTCTGGGAATATGAAGCGATTGACCACATGAAAGGTGATTACAGCAAAATTTTTGTAGCGGATCTGCACTTTCAGTTTCTGGACATCCCCACATCATGTGCCTCCTTCGTTAAGTTGAACCAGCAAATTATGTAATTTGAAGAGCCTTGATCACGTCGCAGTTGCCTTGAAAGATGAAATTGATACGCGGACATAAGTAACATATTATTGACGCCACACCAGGTACATCACTGTACAGCCGGGGAATGAAATTGTAGAAAACTGAATAGATTTATTAAAAGCAAGTGAGGGAGCTGGAAGAACTAGACGGATGCTTTGCCCTAGATCAGGTCAAATTTGTGAGTGTGACTGTTTGATCGAAAAAGGACTCCGAACCAGAAACGCACAGCAGAAGGAGTCGGCGATAGATGAAAACCAAACAAGCATTGGTTCGGAAAGTGATATACTGACCACGAGTAGATCGATCGATCACATAAATCCAACTTGCAGGGATCATAACTGAACACCGCCCACCGGACACAATAAGATGGATGATGTTGAAGAAGCGAACTCGAGTACATGGCTGCATTCAATGGAGGCGCCGCTTGATGAACGCCTTTCTATTCACCACATGAAGAGAAGGTGATGACGCGGGAAGTGCCTACGGGCTTTCTAGATGAGACAATGTGTACGTTATAGGGGAATTTTATACAGCACCTGAAGCTGACTTCTATGAGAAAAATTCTGCAACGAGGCAGAATTTTCGGCATTAATTGAGCCTACTTGCTGCAGGTTGGAGGATAGAACCTCCTGATTTTGATACCGTGGTAGGTCTCGTCCTGGGCGATATCTGAGCCGACGTTAGGGCCGTTTAAACCGTAAAAGACTCGCGTTCGCCAAAAAAATTTTCGTGTTATTCTCTGGTTACAAGCCGCCTGTGGCATTACCACTACTTCTTGGAAACTAAAGGTAAGTTCCTCAGTTTCAAGTGCCTTTCGTTCGAGCTGCGTACCGGCACTATTTATCCTTTACGTGCCCCATCTTCAAGAACGGGCCCAGTGTTTGACCGACTTCCTTCTGCATTGGCAGAATTGGCTAAAAATTGTTTCCTAGGGTAGTTCGACGTTCTGAACATGAATATCACATCCGCTCATCACGAAACCTCCTGGCGCCGCACGCCACAGGCGCCGGCGCCAAAATACCCCAAATCATGAGCTGCTGCGCCAGGAAGTTACGCCCGCATAGCCCTCCTCTAGCGCTGCTAAGGGGCGATGAGGATTATTCGTATTCAGGAGGTAAGACTGCCCTACATTAGACAAGATCTGAGCAAACATCTGTCCCCGGGAGAAAAACAGTTTGCGTAAGTGGCCTCAGTTCTGGACATGCTGCGGGCCAGTAAAGGGTAACCAGTAGTTGTCGATTTGGTCTGATAAATTTTCCTATAGATCATTGGCACTTATTGCGATAAACGTTCGGCGTAACACACAGCTTATACAGCTATGCAGCGCAGTGGCGTTACCTCCACTCACAGTACACTATGGCGGGAAAGGGGGTTCGACTACGGACAGACTCTCAGATGGTTGAAAGGGGGGGGGGGGTCGTATACCACCCCAAAATTTTTTCGCCGACATTATTTTTGCGACCGTGGCTCGCGCCACTGGCTTTTTGACTGTGCGTTGAAGGTCTGCAATTAAACTTAGGAATACCAAACACTTTTCTAGTCAGTACGACATCAGTTTAGGTATCTGGATTACTTCGAGGGAAAACATCATTTGCAAAACGCATATATGGCTTCATAGCTTGTTGTGGAGTCGAAAAAGGCAACGCGTCCGTCCCGTTCTTGGCTAACGTCGGATGAGTGGCGCATCCCAAGGTCTATGACTTTTGAATAGATTGAAATAGACTTTTGAATAGTGTGAATAGGACCGTGTGTCGCGTCGCCGAACGCAAAGCCGACTAGTTTTCTCCGGAAAGCGTCTTTATTCACTCAATGTCTACCAACTCATTACAGGAATCTCATAAAGCGTTGAGCTGCCCTTTCCATTTACAGAACTTTTTGTTATGTTGAACGTTTCATTTCTCACGAAATCTATAAACCACGGTTCAATCTGGAACGATAAAATTGCAGTTTTCCAGTGGCACGCTCTTTTGGAAGAAATCCGGCTCAGCTGGCTTCTCCTTATAGCCTGGCAAGGAAGGCCTACGCACAGAGTCAATGGACATAGTGTAGAACTTCTGAGAATTTCCGCAGTACAAACTGCTGAATAGCACATGTGACTGACAAAGACAGGATTTCTGCTTCCTACTTTTTGTGCTACAGAACACCAAACCAGATTGCCAAGAGAAGGTGTAATGAAATTATCGAACGCTTTCTTCAATTTGCGCACAGTGACGTTTGTGTCATCTTATGTCATGCCTCCAGACTAGAAAGCACAAACACCTCCCCTTTTTTCCCCCAGAAGAGCGAGAAGTGAGGCCCACGAAAAGTCATATAATAATTGGACTTCAGCGAAGGCCTTCAATATTGGGCCGGCTCATAAGTAATGGCATTTTTTTTCTTCCTCGAAATATCGCGCTAAAGATTGAAAGCTTCGCCATTGAGTTTACACTGTTTTGTAGAGAAATCCTTGCCCTATACAATAAACTTTTTGATTTTCTTGAAGCTCCCCTCTCTACTAATATGTAACTACTCAAAGTAGAGTGTCAGGTGGAGAAAATTGAGCATTTTCGACAGCCACTCTTTTTTAGCTCCAATTCAAAAAGCTAAAACCGCACAGGTCAGTTGCGCTCTGAGATATTGATCGGGTAGCCTAAATCTCTTAACCAAGGCTTATAATGGGGTCACGTGGTTCGGCGCCCATAGATATCGACTTCGACCTCATAGACAAGCGTCCAACCTAATACCCTACTGTGTCCAACGAGAACTGACTGAATCACATTATTCATGAATTTTCATGCCAAAAAATGGGGGATCGTTAGAGTCATGGAATTCCTCCCAATCATAATCAGGCATCATCGCCAGAGGTCAGACGTGCGAAAGTTCAGTAGATAGGTGCAGGCAGTCGCTCCTAAAGAGGGAACCCCATGCGATGCACATTTTTAGCGTCCGAATTCTCATATCTGATTGCTTCAACCAAGTTCAAGCTGTCATAAGAAGCAAACTCTCCTCGGTCATATAGGTCGCAACTTTTGAGCTTCTTCTAATTTGAAAGCTAAGATTAGAGTGCAAGAGAGAGGAGTTGCTTTTTGAAAACACACGTTTAGTGATCGACCCGACACTCTCTTTCAAGTCCTCTCTAAGATTCATAAAGCAGAAGTTCTGTGTACTTTGTGTGTGTGTGTGTGTGTGTGTGTGTGTGTGTGCGTGTGTGTGTGTGTGTGTGTGTGTGTGTGTGTGTGTGTGTGTGTGTGTGTGTGTGTGTGTGTGTGTGTGTGTGTGTGTTTGTATGCTTGCGTGTTCGCCCGAAAATTGGGGACTGTGTGGAAAATCATTTTTGGCGAACGGATCAAGCTTGGGATGGTTGTGGCATGGGACAACATTTACAGAACACCTACAAGGTAACCTAGGCTTTTGCCACAAATGGCCGTAGCCATGCGGGAGTGAACGGTTGCATGTAATAATAAAATTTTTATAAACCCGTATCCTGTCGCAACGCCGAAGGATGGTAATGTGCTTGAGCGGAGACAGCGGTGAGCCAAATGATAGACAAGAGACGGAGAGACACCTAAAGCAAAAGTAAGGGGCCAAAAGTTATATACTTTTGTTCAAGGTAAATGGAATAGTAGTGAAATGAGCGGTCGAAATCTGAAAATTTTTAACTGTATTCTGTATTCATTTATTTGTTTATTTATATTTATTTACCTATTCATTTATTGCTA